AAATTATAACTTTTGATTGTTTCTAGGGAATAACATCCACAACGTAGTAATTAAAGACTCTTGATCTCTCCATAGTTTATTGATTTATTGTCATTCAAGGTTTGCAGTTGTTAGCTTTCGCATGACATCATGTTGTTTTGATCTCAACATTGCAAGTTGCAACCTAACATAAATAAATATTTTCTCTCTAGCAGTTTATAACTTTTTACATAAAGTGATCATACAATTAGGTGCTTATCCATGTAAAAGAATCAAAAGTAACTGTAAGGGTGTGTTCAGTATGAGGAAAAAATGCAGATGCTTGCAAAAAACTTCATGAGCATGCATAGAACACACAAGTTCTTCTATGGTCATGGTGTCCATATACTTCGACTCTTCAATAGAGACGATAGCATAACTAAATATTGAATCAATGGATCATATAAGTTATATTTCCGCGTTCATCCTTCAAGTTTTCACCATATTTCCACCTCTATGTCACCCCGGGCTTCATGACCGATGCATTGAGGCAAAATATCCTAATCGAATGTCATTAGTTTAGTTAACGAGGTGAAATTACGCAGAGATCTTGAAATGGAAAACAGAATTCCTTGTTGAAATGCATCCTGGTTAGTGGTGAAACCAGTATATATGAATGTACACATGATTTCGAAACTGTGTGATTTTACTGTCATTCGTTCATTTATAAATTTTTGAACAAGGGAAACAATTTAGCTTCAAAAATCATCCATGCGGAATTTCAAAAAGGAAAAGAAAGCAGAGAGATTATTCGTAGACTTTGCATTCCTTGTCTGCAGGATTTGTCTTGCAGTAGTCCTCTAAGGCGTCTCCGCTCCCTTCTGCAGCTGAACCAGGCCATTTGCTTGCTACCAGATGAGCTAAGTCGACCACACGTTGGCTGCAATTTTACCAAGTATGATCACAAGTGAATCAACGGTATATGTGTGCTTATGCATGTGTATTTTTAATGTAAATGAGTTTTCAGGTTGGTTGTATAAGTATGTGAAATGATTGTGTTCAGTTTACCTGTATCCCCATTCGTTGTCATACCAAGCGACAATCTTGACCATGTCGTCTCCCATAACCATGGTTAAAGAGGAGTCGATGGTGGTGGAAACATCACTGCATCGGAAGTCAACTGACACAAGAGGCTCATCACAAACAGCCAATATGCCATTCAACGGACCGTCAGCTGCCTTTCTGAAAGCTGCATTGACATCTTCAGCTGAAATTCCTTTCTTTGCAACATTGATAACAAGGTCAACAACCGAAACATTAGGTGTTGGCACTCGGAGAGCAATTCCATTGAGCTTTCCCTTGAGCTGAGGTAGCACTAGAGACACAGCCTTTGCTGCACCAGTGCTGGTCGGGACTATGTTCAATGCTGCAGCTCTCGCTCTCCTCAAGTCACGGTGTGATGCATCCAGAAGCCTCTGCATACAACATAATCAAATCTATTCAGTGTCATTGTAAGGTGCACGTTTCACAAATTCCCCTTTTGTATCGTATATCATGATTACCTGATCTCCGGTGTAAGAGTGTGTTGTTGTCATAGTTCCCTTAACAATACCTTCAAAGTGAATGGAAATAGTCAAACAACATACTCAGCGTAATCCTACAAGTGAGGTCTGGGAGGGTGGTGTGTACACAGCCTTACCCCTACCTTGTGAAGGTAGAGAGTCTGTTTCCGATGATATAAATAGTCAAACATAACCTAAAACCACATAAATTTGAACAATGTTTTCAACAGTATTAATCTGCTGCTTACCAAATTCTTCATCCAGGATTTTTGCAAAAGGGGCCAAGCAGTTGGTGGTGCAAGAGGCATTGCTGCATTTATAAAGGTAGAACATTAATACGATGTCTTCTTGAACATTAAATATACTCCCTCCATCCAAATTTATGCGACACACTTTCATTTTTAGTCAATCTCCAAAAGAATGATCCTTTTTTCAAAAGTCTCGCTTTATTTCTTAAACTATGTGTCCAGCCAAACACGTTCACATAAATTGCACTGACCTTACGATATTGGCAACCTCGTGAGAGTAGTCTTGTTCATTCACTCCAATAACATAGGTAGGAATGTCAGCACCTTTTGCTGGAGCAGTGATGATAACTTTCTTGGCACCAGCTTGGATGTGCTTCCCAGCACCCGGACCATCAACGAACACACCGGTCCCCTGTGAGTTTTCAAACAACATTATTAGGCAACTTAATAGCCATCTTTTCTCAGGATTCATCCTGTTGAAGTGCTGGACTTGTTATTGATCAATCTCAACAAGTTTAATCTTGGTTGATTTTATCTCGTTAAGCAAATAATGAGTAACTTTTGGAGGATCAGGCACACATCTGACAACATTTTGGAAGGGTCCGAGCAACATAGGTATGCATCAGTCAAATGTTATGATGGGATGAATTATGACATTAGCTACATTAATTATGTATATTAGCATGAAATTGAAAGCTATTAGATGTGTTAATGATTCCTAAACTAGCAGAAAATCCGACTAGTTGAGTAATCGTACAAGTTTAGCTTAACACATCGGTAATAGGAATGGTTAATAATTCTGCTATAACTTGTGTGTCTGATCAGATATTACAACAAGACAACAAAAACTTGTGAAGGTAGAGAGACTGTTTCTGATAGACCCTCGGCTCAGATATTACAAGTACTAAAAGTAGAATCTACCAATAACCGAGGGATCAAAAATGCTATTAACGTGTCGTTTATCAGAATTTGGTACACGTAGTTTACCTCAATAACAATGTCAATACCAAGTTCAGCCCATGGAAGCTTTAGAGGATCCCTGCTAGAGACAACCTTAATGTTCTTTCCATCAACACTAATGGTTTCATTATCCACTATTTTCACATCTGCCTTGAATGTTCCCAACATGGAATCATACTTAAGCAAGTGAGATGCCTGCATTAACATAATATTTGCAATACATTTTAACATTGGACCGCGAAAAATTTGATAGTAAAACCAACAATTGCTATAAATGTGCTGATTTTTTGCAGGTAAAGCTCACATTCTTGACACCACCACTGTCATTGACGACAACGACATCTAGTGGTGAGTCCTTGCGTCCATGCCAACAACGGAGGAAGTTCCTGCCAATTCTTCCGAAACCATTGATGGCAACCTTCAATTTGGCAACAGTTTCTCCTTTCACAGGTCCTGCTGATCCTGTGGTCTAATTTGGGATAAAAGTAAATGAGTTTCAGGAAAAAAGGTACAAAACACTACTATTTCTCCGTCAAATTTTTCTATGATAGATGGTCAGAACTTCATTTAGGCCCTAAATTGATGAATGATGATCCTACATTTATTTCGTATCCTCGTGAATTGACTTAGGTCATTGGTTTGGTTCTGGCTGTTTTAACTACATCTTTTAATCCTTGCCTCAGGACCAAATTGGTTATTAGCAGTGAAAACAGAACACACCTGGAATTCGAGACTACTATTTGTTATCTTAGTGATGAAACACTGGATTTCTTATCTCATGTTTCATTCTAAAATATAGAAGGACGTCATTCTTCTCAGAACAGACTAATGAGGAAAGAGTGTATAGTCATAAGTATTGAAAAGATCAATATTCTGTTATGTTTAGTACTGTTTTGCTTCGCGGTCTAAAGCAGATGTTTTACTGAGTAGAGTAAAGATGCTTACCTTGGGAGTGAGTTGAGCAGACACAACATCAAAGAAGGAAGACTCCTTGTTACAAAATGTCACACATCCACTCGATCGAAGACCAGAGAACTCTGCTACTTCAAATTTCTACAAAAAAAACAACAGATAAATTAACAAACACATTTACTAGAAGAAAGAATCTTCTTTTTTTTCGAATTTTATTTGGAGAAAAAGTAAAGACCTTAGAGAAGCATTGAGTAGGGAAAGAGTAAGAGTTCTTAGATAGAAGCCTTGTGCTTGTAGGAATTCTTGAAGGAGCCAAAGCTGCATGAGAAGCCATGGTTTTGTTTATTTGACAAAAACTACTTAAATCCTTTGCTATATATATATACTTTTCAAGTTTACTTTTTTTTAAAATTGTTGAAATTAAGTTTTGGTTACAAATTGAGGTTCAAAAAATGAGTGGTGCATCATCAAGATTTGATAAGAGATAAGATGATCTATGTCCTCATGTATGTATTTTTTTTTTCCCACCTTGATCATCATCAGCAATCTCAACCACAAATTATTGGAAAATTTCATGTTATCCTTATTTACTTACCATAATTGTGGAAACAAATTAAAACATCCTTCCCATCATTTTACTTTAAGAAAATGCATCACAAAGAGCAAAGTGATAGCAACGCATGTGACACTCTTTCTTTTTTAGTTTACTTCAACCAGAACGACTTCACTTTATATTGACATGTTTGTTACCACAAATATCTATCACGAAGTCGTCTCAGGTTCAAATCTTCAAAGAGATTTATAAAACTAGATGATTTCGTTTCATTTGTTCAAAACCTTGATGGATAGAGTTACCTAATACTTATGTTGATGAAAGATAGCAAGAACCTGGTGGAGTTAGCCAACATGCGAACAAATTGACTCAAACACCAGAATTATAATTCTTTTTAAAAGAAACACAAATTTTTTTAAAAAAATCCTTTTAATTTATTTTTTTTACATGTGTAGTGAAATACCATCACCAAAAATGAAAAGGAGGGAATATTTAATTATTTTGTTTGGCATTATTCTGGGCAACTGGAGAAGTAGTACAAGAATAATAACCACTATCCATTCATTAGAGTACAGGACAATTTAGAGATGGTCTTGCAGAAGGATAATATTTTTTTTGGTATAGAAAAGAACTCTATCCACAAAACACCAGTGGTCCTCTGTGATTCAATAACCAATTACTTGCAAGTTACTCGATACTTGTGCTCGTGGAAGGTAACAAATACTTGGTAAACCAATGGAATTTGCTGGTGAATGATAGCAAATTCACCAAACGTTTCGATTGTTCTCCCACTTAATTATCAATGTGTTATGTTAAACTTGTATTTTCACTTCATATTTAATGGTAATGTAGTTTTCAAATAGTCCAGATACAATGCTCTTGGAATTTGATCAATGTCTTCAGAAAGTGTATCCATTTACATGAAAACCAATTGAAGTGTTGTTTATACAACACTTTCAACTTCATCTAGGTTCACTGCAGCTCCATTTTCTGCATCCCCGGACCTCAACTGGTTGGAGATGTCGTCAATAGCATCATTCAGCTGGACGATCTTCTCCGTTAGTATCTTGCGTTGTTTCTGCAGACGAAACAGCATGCATACATTAGAAAAAACTTAAAACAGGAATAAGAATATCGTTCTCAAACTTGGATCTTTAGCCCTTCAGCAGCTTTTTTTGTAACCTCCGGAAGCTATATGATTCAAGCAAAGTAACAAACTCAGATAAAGGTGACACATTTGATGCAACAAGCCCGCTCCTCTTTCTTGCAATAGACAGAGAGAAACCGTGGAGAAGAAAGCACGACGTTCTTGTATAGATCACCTAACTAGGTTCATTTAAAGACCAAGAAAAATGTCGTCTTTTGGTTAGCTCCCGGAGCTTGAATAGAGTCACATTGTAATGGAGCTAACATTTGCTACTGTTGTATGTTTTGCATCTCCTAGATGCCAGTAATGAAACATCTTACTTCACAGAAATAAAAATAAGAAGACCAAGAATAGCATCTATGTATAGTTAAACGAAAGCTTTATAACCAAACAAGACTTTAGTTCTAAAACTGTAGAACGTCCGTACCCAAGGGTTTGGCCTAGTGGTCAACGAAATGGGTTGAGAACCACGAGGTCTCAAGTTCAAATCCAGGGGAAACAAAAAACACTAGGTGATTTCTTCTCATTTGTCCCAACTTTAGTGGACAGAGTTACATGGTACTTATTACTAGTGGAAAGTGAAAAGTATCTTGTGAACTTAATAGAGGTGCGTGTAAGATGGACCGGACACCAAGGTTATCAAAAAAGAAAATAAAATGTAGAACATCCTTGGTTGGGTGCTTCAAATCTTAGCAGTGACTGGTCTCAGAGTATCTTCTCTAGCCTTTGTCTTTACATCTCTTGCAAGGTACTTCATCTAATAAGTTCACGACTACATAACGGAACTCACATAAACTAACAAATAACTCTATCATCACCCTTTTGTCCAACTAAAATACTACTTAGGAGAAACAACTGAAGCGGATAGCGGTAGCTAGTTATACAGAAGTAGCAAAGCACCAAATCTCAGCAATCAGGATTTAGGACCATTGCCCATTCACCTTAAATCTTTATAGGTGAAGATCGAGGAAGGAAGACTCAAAAGCGACAGATAGCTACACCTAAGGGGATTACACTTATAAGGAGGGATTTATTCAGCCAGAATAGAGGATTCTGATATATAATGTGTGTTTGTTGTGTGTGTCTACACTCACACGAAGCGCGCGCATGCACCACCAAAAAAAAGACACTATCTCTCTCTCTTACTGCTTCCTAATAAAAGACGTACATAATATTAACTTACCTCCAATGCTTTTTCTTCATCATATATAAACTTGGGCAATTTTCTCATGAGGTCTTTCCTATCTGTTTCGGCTAATGCCTTGCTAATCTGTAGAAGAGAAATTAAAGGGCAGTCAGCTTACTGCTCCTAGGTACACCGCAAGAGAAGAAATGCAGAGAAGGCATTTATCAATGAGTGATGTCGCAAATTCACAAGTATTTAACGAGCAAAAACGACCAAAGTCAGTGACTAATACAAGTGCTACTGCACTTATACCCGAAAATAAGCTAGCTTTAACTTAGAATGATTACCTCTGGTGCGAAGATACAACCAAGTGCACCAACGATTACTCCTCCTAAAAGAAAGCCACCTACAAAGATGCTTGAATTGCTTGGCCTTCCACCATCACTGCCAATTGACAAGAAAGACAAACATCCCATAAAATATGTTCTCCTATCGGTGGATCACCAATGTGTGAAAGAAACAAAACTACAATATTCTTTTTCCTACTTAAATGGCAAGATCCAAGTTTTCTTCTGTCACTCCGGAGTCAATTGGATTTATAGTTTGCAGAACAACGGTCGGATCAAAGTAAATAATTGAAGGACCAGGAAGGTTCTTTTGAGTTGATTTGGTCTAATTAAAGCTCACACTAACTTATTAAGATGTAAATATCATCTACCTGAAAGACAAGTGAGTGTGACAACCAAACAAAAAGAAGTGTGATATATCATCAATGTATAAGTTGCATACGAGTAGAGCACGTAAGAACAAGAGAAGCAATACCTATATTCTGCTTGAACGGTTAATGATCTTCTAGACGAGGATGATTTTCCTCCATGCCTTGGACTGAAGGCCAATTTGGTGGTGCCACTGACACTTTTATCTGCCGACTTCAAACTAGATCCTAGCACATTGAGAAAGTTACTGGACTTATACCACATCACTCATGTAGGTTTGGGTGAAAGAGGGAGCCATCAATGCAACATATGATCATGTACTACTAAAACCAATTTTAGTCTCATGCAGTTCCACAAATAATTTGAACAAAAAACACACATCATTTTGTATCCAACAATTTTCATTTAGATGCTATGCTTAAATAATTGAATAAGAAACACTGAAGGTCGTTGAATCTTATCATGCCCCTTATTGTAATGTATGTATTGAAACAAACATCTGCACAAAATTGAGCAAGCATTTTGGAAAATGATGCTGGTCGCTGGAACAAAATAAGGGCCATTTTTCAACAGATAACTCTACAATATGGATATTTTAAGGGCCACTCTGATCATGTATATCTCATTCTGATATTGAATACTACTCTCTTATCATTTAAAATACGGCATTATTTCTTGTTTGATTGACACCTTTTTATAATTGAAAAATCTTTAAATTTAACACTCCCTTTTTGCCCTTAAAGATATGCTCTTATAGGAATTATGACAAGTTGAAAACTATTAGTTCCTCCGTTTCATTTTTGTGTGTTAGTTTAACCAGACACAAAATTTAAGAATGTTTGGGAAACTGTTGAATCTTGTGGACTTAAATTAGAGATGTTAACATTCCAAAACTACCCTTTGGATCTTGTATCTTAAACATGTTATTCCTATAAGAGTGTCATTAAGAATAAAATAACAATGTTGAAACGAAGGTAGTCAATCTAAGGATAGTGTTTCTCTATTTCTTTTTTTTTTGATAACCGAGAAATCCGTCTGTGACCCGCCCTTTGGACCAATCACAGCCTTCTAAACTCGGTGGAAGTGTTTCTCTATTTCTTAAATTTCGTATCCAGCAAAACACTACCATATAATATGGAGGACATGAATATTTTTTTCATGATAGAGACAACTTGTGCACCTTGACTAATTCCACCTAATACCTGCTATCTCCCACCACCTCAGGTACCTAGAGTTGTACCCAACAACTCTCACTACAAGACTATCAAAAGAAATCACCTAGTTTTTAAAGCAAATTGGTGTTCCTTAAAACTGGATGTTCCATATATGTCACACTTATCACATACAAGTCTCTGATCAGAGCGAAAAAACAACTTAACGGAGGTATAACAACAACAGAGATCCTCTATCCCAACTAGCCTATAGCTATTGAGGCAATTTCGCTTTGTTCTTAGCTAAGTTCTCAAGTTCTTTCGAGACACAAATTACTCTATGCAGCAGTTAGTTTACTACTTTAACAGTTAATATCAGTAAACAACAACAAAAACATACACAACGTAATCCCACAAGTGGGGTTTGGGAAGGGTGGTGTGTACGCAGACATTACCCTACCAACGCTAAAATCAGTAGGTAACAACATACCTAGTGTAATCACAGAAGTGGTGTCCGGGGAGGATGATGTGTAAACATACCTTACACGTACCTTATGCTTGTGAAGGTAGAGAGGCTAGACTCTCGGCTCAAGTAAAGCATCTCAAACCTAAAATCAGTAGAGAACAACAACAACACAGTGTAATCCCACAAGTAAGGTAAGAGTAGGGTGGTGCATAGGCCTACGGCCTACCTTACCCCTACTTTGTACTCTTGAAGGTAGAGAGACAGACTTTTGAAAGACCCTCGACTCAAGTAAAGCATATCAAAGCTAAAATCAGTAGAGAACAAAACACAAATCTTGAAATAATCATTCAATTATGCTATTACGAAGCTCGATTACTGAATACACAGGGTCAAATACCAACTAATCAACACACCAAATTCGAAATTACCATAAAGGGTGCATCAAAAACAGCAAATTACAACAAATAATCCAAACCCCATGAATAAAAATGTAAAATTTACAAGATTTAAAGAATTACCAGAAGTGAAATGCAGAGAAGGGGTTGTTGATAAAAGCAAAGAATTCGAAATAGCTATCATCCTGTAAGGTTAGGGGAAGTGGGTAAAAATGAGGTGGAAGACTGTCACCGGAAAATGAATTAACGGCGGAGGATGGTGGCCGGCCGGCGCAGGGAAGAGTGACAGTTGGAGAGCAGAGAAGAAAGGATAATAATATCAAGAATAGTGATAATTTGTTTCTGTAGTTTGGAAGATGATGATCAACATAGTTAACAACTGACACGTGGATATTTGGAAACCAAAGTCTCGTAATAATCCATAAAAATCAACAAATCGTGACATTCGGTTAAAGATGAAAAAATACTTATTACTCTAGTATAACTCTTGTTAGTGTTGCATCGTGTTATTTATGTTAAGAAAAAAACTCAAATATATCATAGAACTTTGATAAAAAGCTTATTTACGTCACTGTTAAAAGTTTGGGTCATATATGTCATTTGTGTGGATGGGTGTTTTTCCAAACAGAAATAACATAAATGAGTCAAGCTTTTAACGGATGGTGTAGATAAGCCTTTTATCAAAATTCGATGGTATATGAAAGCTTCTTGCTAAACTTCACTCGATTGAGAATATCATTAATTAATAAAAATGTGTTCTCTCTAACCGCTTAAACTTTTAAATGAGGTTACACACTTCAACATGTTATCAGAGCAGGTAGAGGTCCTGCAATCGGATCTCACCGCCACCCAAAATAAAAAGAATTTAGTTTAAGCTTTTAAATGACATGGTCACACACTTGGTGATAGTATTTGCTTTTTTAAGAAAATCACTCAGGTGAATGTTCTAAGTGATTCTCATGAAAAAAAATTGTGTGCGTAAAATCTTAATGGTTAAACTAATAATCGTATCAATAACTATCAACAATCGATAGCTGAATATCTTAATGAGTCTGCAACGATTTAACATGTCTACAAACTGATAGTCAAGTAACAGTAATCACTTTGTATTGCTGGAGATTGGTATGGGCCTCCGGGTACGTCATTGGAGCGGCCCAATGAGGAACAAAATTTAGTGGACTGGCCCAAACTGTTACTACCTAACAAGAAGAAGCAAAGGAAACTAATGGACCCAAGCCTAGAGGGATAATGAACTTTTAAATGGAGAAACTACGTAATTAGACATACTCCATTATCATATGTACTATTATTATTTATATTTTTAAAATATTGCCTATGTTATCATTAATTAAGAGTTTCCTATCATATATTGAGGAAGATACACCTAGATACATGTAATTTTGCTACCAGATACATTAAAATAGGGAAAGAGACGAGTGAGATGGGGGAGGGAGGAGAGTGAGATACTCACATATCTCAAATACATGTGAACCACACTAGATACATGTATTTGTATGGATCTGTTGTGATTCACATGTATCTGGAATACCAGATATAGAGAAAAGTGGAAAGCGAGATGGGAGGGAGACTAGCGAGATTTGTTATGTATCACATATACATGCGAATCACTTGTATACAATGTATCTAGAATAAATTACACCTAATTTTGACCCTATGTATCTCAAGATATAAGTATCTAGACGCACCAAAATATGGTAAGACTCGTAATATTGCAAACTAGAGTGTATCTAAGTAATTAGTTCATAAACTAGTAGGATATATGTAAATTTCCCAACTTAAAACTGCATTTCAAACCGCACACAACTCACACTACAACTACACACCGAATCATAATTTCACAAGTGTAGTCTGAGGAGAATGGTGTATATGAACTCTTACCCGATCTTGTGAAGATAGGGATGTTATTTCAGATAATATTCTCTACTCAAGTAAAACAACATAACTCATACTCTGCACTATCAAAGCTTATAGTCTAGTTGTATCAGTGAAATTCTCCCGCACAATATGTGCGGGTTACATTCTTAATGACCTATTTCACCTTCCTTGATCTTCTTATGTAATGAAAAAGGGAAAAAAAATTGTTCAAACATAATCAATCAAGCTGAGATACTGAAATGAAAGTGATAATATTGAAATTGAGTGTTCTTCAAGCACCAAAGTGAGCAAGAACTCAACATAATTACATAACTTTAGAAAGTGAAACATTGAACATACAACTGTGAACTTATTCAGGTTCTTACATCATCATAGTAAAAACATAAGACATCGAAATTTGATACAAATACAACATTACGATTGAAAAAAGAAGTACAGTTTATAGCACAACGTGAACATTTTCTTGTATTAGTCTTTCAACATTTGCAGCTTGAAACCATTCCAACTATTTTCATCATCTTCACATTGTAGGCTTCACAGTGAGACGAGAAGCGACCTTCTGACCACAGGACTTGTCAGCCTGCAATGTATCCACGTGAAGAAAAGATTGGTTTTGTTTAATCACCGCGTTTTATTAGGCTAAAATGAATCATGGAAATGAAGAGAACAACTCAAACCTGAGACAAGTATGATATCCATATGCTGCGAATCTCATGAGTGACTCGTGGATCGGATAGAGACTCAACCCACTTGGTGATGTATCTGTCTTGCCTGAAATAACAAGGATAATCAGTTATCATTGTGTGTTTACGAGGGGGAGAATTGGCAATAAATTATATGATAGATGAACCAAATTAGTACCTGTCAGATTCCCAGGATCTGTACCTCTCCCCTGCCTGTTTGAAGTTGTTCTCTTTCGGAATGACACACTAAAAAAACAACAATGTATATATGTAAGTGAAAGTTAAACTCATTCATAGATCATTCAGACGAACAATAACAAAGATTTGCCTCACATTTGTACGCCTTCCATTCAAGACACAAGCAGGAATTGGGTACTGCTCAGCAGGACGACAAGGATCAAACCTCGAGGGCAAATAATCCACCTGAAACATTTAGTTATACATCAGAAGAATGAAATGTTTGAACAAAGGCAACAACATAAGGAGCACCAATTGTCGAGTGCATAGTACCTCTTCATCGCGATGTGTCATGTTCATGGCACCATCGCGATGATTGTTGTGATGACCACACTTGGGAGCATTAACTGGGAGCTGCATATAGTTTGGTCCAATACGGTGTCTCTGAGTATCAGCATACGCGAATATCCTAGTCTGGAGAAGCTTATCCTCGGAATAGTAAATACCAGGGACGATATGTCCAGGGTTAAACGCGAGCTGCTCATTCTCAGCAAAGAAGTTATCAATGTTCCTGTTCAATACCAATCGACCAACTGGGATCAACGGCAAGAGATCCTCAGGCCATGTCTTGGTTACATCCAGAGGATCAAAATCGAACTTGTCTACATCCTCAGGGTCCATTGTTTGGATGAAAAGTTTCCACTCAGGATAGTTTCCAGCTGCAATTGAATCGTAAAGATCCTTGGTCGCGTGGCTATGATTAGTACCACCGACTCTAATAGCTTCTTCCTCAGACATACATTTCACACCACAAGTTGGCTTCCAGTGGAACTTCACATAATGTGCTTTCCCCTCTTTGTTAATCAATTGATACGCGTGAACGCCAAAACCTTCCATGTGTCTGTAATCAGTTGGGAGACAAACATCATCGTAGAAGAAGGCGAATGTATGCAAACTCTCAGGAAGGAACGAGAAGAAATCAAGGATCCTCCAGTTCTCCTGAATGTGTGACTTTGGATTTGGTTTCAATGCACGAATCGTGTCAGGGAACGACTTAGCATCACGATTAAAGAACACAGGGACATTGTTTCCAACAAGATCAAAGTTACCCTGAAGCAATTAATTAAATACATTACAATAGAACAAAACACAATCCAAGATTCCAGTACCTAAGTTCATGTTTCAAGTAACACGAAATTACCTCTCTGGTGTAAAACTTGACAGCAAAACCGCGAATGTCCCTGATTGACTCGGGGCTTCCACGTTCATGGACAACAGTAGAGAATCGACAAATAACAGGCGTTTGAGCACCAGGAGCTCGGAGAAAATCAGCACAAGAAAGATGAGAAATGTCATGAGTAACTTCAAAGAATCCCTTAGCACTAGCACCTCTAGCATGAACAACACGCTCAGGTATCTTTTCGCGATCAAAAGTCGCAAGTTTCTCAATTAGATAATAATCCTCAAGCAGAACAGGCCCTGCCAAAAACATAACGATCCATAAAAATTGATCACTTGAACTAATACAGAAAAATATTCGAAATCTTTTACAAAAAGTGTTATTCAGACTTAAAAACACTTAAAATAAGTCTATCCAAACAAGCTCAAAGTCTAATATCAAAATACCTCTAGGTCCAACTGTCAAGGAAGAAACATTGTTGTACACAGGACCACCAGCATTTGTTGTCAAGAAAGGGGTGTCGTATGCGCTTGATGGGCGATACTGCGTCACAATCAAATCCAACAAAAATAAATATACATTGCATATGCAACAAATCGAGCCTATGAAGTTTATGAGTTCTTACAACGATCTCAAGCTAGTATATATATATATAATAATAGCTGAGTTCACAGTTAAATATGCAAATATAGGATTTGGAAAAAAACTATTGTGATCACGTGAACCCATAGCTTTAAGGCTAGATCTGCCTCCTAATGCACAACCAAATATAATAAAAAGAGTGGTCTCAACTATAGCTTTGTCAATTCTCAATCAAATCCACTTGATATTCAGCAGATCTGAAGATTATAGGTTCCTATGGCGATGTCAAGTTAATATATAATAATAACTGAGTTCACTGTTTATAAATATTTAGTAGATTTCTTAATACGAAGGCAAAAACTACTGAGATCACGTGAACCCAAAGCTTAAAAGCTAGATCTGTCTCGTAATAAAAAATTACGCAAGGAGTGCTCACAATTTGTGTTCGATCGCCGGCGATGCCGATCAGATGTCGGAGAATATTCCGGCATCTACAGGACAGTTTTTTTAGTAGTTATTTTTAAAAAAAGTATTTTCTATTTTTAGAAGGGCGTTAGAACACGTGACAATTTTTGTTGAGAAAATAATTTTTGATATGCTAGTTTTGTTTGCTTATGAAATGCTTTTTTTGAATTTTCCTAAATTGTTTGGAAGGAATTTGAGGGTTTTTTTTTCATTTAAAATCTTTTTTAAATATGCATAATTTTTTTATTCTTTTTTACAATTACAAAATATTTATTTTGCAGATTTTTTTTTGAGAGTTTTAAGTTCGTAATTTGGTGAAAATGATACATAAATAATTTGTGTGCAAAATTATCCGTATATATAACTTAACTCACTATTTAGATGACTTAACTTTTTCCAAGGTTGGTCACTTGTGATCTGAAGCTATTATTCGTAAGTTGAAGCTTGATCTTCATTCGATCACTTGATTTTCACTCATAAAACTTAAACATGAAATTTATGTTCAAACACAATTTCATATGACTAGTGCTTCATTTTTCTTTACTTGAAACTCGAAGGATCGTTCATTATATGCATGAGAGACTATTTTAAACGTATCAATAGAGACGAAAGACACCTAGCTTAATAAGGCGTTTTAAAAAAAAAAATTATAACTATATCGAGGGTACTTCTGATGTAATGAATAAGATCTCTTTATCCTTAACAAAAAAAAATGAATTCGAACTTTGAGTGAGAATTTTTTCTGACAAAAATATGTTTTTACTTTATCAGTGTTATAGGATACGAATCTTAATTGACGTATCTGAATAATATTACCAATTATATAGCACAAGAACTAAGAAAAAAAAGGATCACAAAACTTTGTATACAAAAAAAAAAATTGATATACCTTAGAGGGATCCATAGTGATGGAAATGAAAGGAGAATTGAAGAGAGAGCCTTTTGATCAATAAACTGTTTATGTTTGGTGTGTTGAGAGTGAGAAAGAGCAACTTATTTATAACCTGTGGAGGGCACTTATGTAAAATTATAATACACATAAAAATCTCATAATGTTGAGGATGAAATTCTATCTTATATTATTTTAAGTTATATATATATATTGTTAATATACTAATAATTATCAGTGGCGGATTCAGAATTTCATTAAGGGGTTCAAAATGTGAAAAAGTACAACTTCTACTATATATACTTAAAAAAAATAAGTTTAACCATGTATTAACAATGTTATTTTCTGTTAAACAAGGCTCTGCCCCTCATAATAATATATTCAGTGTGTTTTCACAAGTGAGATTTGAAGAAGGTGGAGAGCATTTATGCAGATCTAACCCCTATCATTGAGGATTAAATTAAAGAGTTTATTTCAGATACTCTCGATTCGGGAAAAATGTTTTACAGATCGAATAGGTTTGAAAAAAGATAAAAGAATAAAGAAACTAAGCTAAAAATATCAAGGAAAAGAAAAATATTGACAAAAAAATAATAGAAATAACCAAATGTAAGAGAAAACAAAAGTAATACGAGTGCTATATTAAAGAATAAGGTAATGGTAAAATAGTACTCTTATAATACCAAAAGGGAAACATAATTTTCTACCTTAATTCTCGACATCTAAAAATGAGAAATATTTAACTTTTTATCTTAATCTTCAACGTTTAACGTAAATTGTTAATGTAAGAACAATTACATTATCTAGTCGCCCAAACAATGACAGAGTCAAATATTTTTACTGAAATGAAAAATATAACTTTTTGATAAAAGATGTTTAATTGAACCCTTTGTGTCTCTAGTTCATCCTTGAGCCAAAGTATAACGTGAAAAAAATTTAAAATGTGAAATTCATAATCATGAGAAATAAAATTGATTCTTTTAGTATATAAGTAATAATTTTAGAATAAATAAATAAGTTATACTGTTCAAATGGATAAGATTTAGTGCATAATAGCTGTAAGATGATAAAAATGAAAGCACTATATATGTTACATTTTTTTCATATATATTCATTGTATTTCTTGATCCAAATAATTAATACTTAAAAAAAGAAACTTTAGTCAATTATGGACCAGCATCAACATCTATCTAATTAAATATTATATTAATGTTTTTAGTTACTTGATTTCTTTTTTTTATAATGCCTTTATATTCCTCTCACAAATCATCAACTTGCATAATTATTTTTGGGTGAAAAAATTTCTTATCTTTAAAGAAATTCACAAAAAAATAAAATTGACTTCAACATTTCAATTTTGAAAATTGTCCACATATGAACACCATCTTTGATTTTTCTAGAAAGTATATAATTCCTAGTAATAAAACTGCTAACATGTCTAGAAGATAGGTTAACGGATAAGTATCGTTATATAGATCTTTTTATCGTTATATATAAAAATAGATTTTTTTTTCTTTCATTATATTCTATTGTTCGTTAAGTTTGTATTGAGGGTCTTTCTTAGAGACACACGAGCTTGCATGTGATTCAGGTTTCTTATCTTTCTTTTTTTTTGACACCTAAACTATCTAGAGATCGATGCAGGGCATAATTAAATCATCTCAAATGACATTTTCGCATTTTATCTTCGATGTGTGATACGTTGTAGCTTGTATCTTCTCACAAATGTAATCATTTCTATCCTGATTTAATTTATATGATCGCACATTTATTTTATCATTATACATTTGTATACGACATTCATCTTGTGAATATGTTGAACTTGGATATTGGATAATTTTTTATTTAAAAAAAATGTTAAGGATATATTTACGGATTTTCCGAACTATTGACATATATTGGTGATAATATATTTTATTACTATGTATTATTGTAACGACCATACTATATATAGCACTAATAATTCACATAGGACCTTATGACTCATGTGTGTAAGAAAATATCCGATTTATGAAGGGGCCTTTTGGCATTGCCTATTCTTGTTTCATTAGGATATCTCGACTCTATCATCGATGAAAGAACGTTGTGAAATGCGATGTTTAATATAAATTATAGAATTTGGTAAATTATTGAGACTTTTTATGTAAGTTGCGTCTAAAGTTACGTTAAGCGAACGGTAGGAACTTCACATTTTCAAACCTTACAAATCCATTGTTCAACTTTATACGAATGTTTTTGCCTTTCTAATTTTATTAACAAAGCGCAAGAATTCAAAATTTTAAATTTATTATAATATAAATATATAATTTAAATTTAAATTATTGAATTTTGTCAAATCCACAAGACTATAAGTTAAAAAAAAAAAGTTAGCCTACATGGATGTTTTTGGAGTTTTTTGTTTTAAGTTAGAAAATGAAATTTCACTGATTCAATTACCAATAGGACATTCTAAACCCACTACGGTTCGAATTCGGTACAATTTTAAATTTTTACAAAAAAAATAAATAACTTATTAGATTTTAAATGAATTGTTTATACGCATCAATAAGTTTTTAATCGAATTTAATTATAATCGAGTTTTGATATCGAGCGGAAAACTAATAAAAGGTCATTTGTCCTCTTTGCTTTATGCCTTTATCCTTGACGTTAAGAGTAAAAAGGAAAAGAGAAAATTGCTTTTTTTTCCTTCTTTTTTCTTTAACCATTAAAAGTATCAATTACATTTTCTTTAGTTATTATCATTATAGGCGCGGTTAAAATTTCAATTTTATAAATTTTAATTTTATAATAATAATTTTAAATAATAATAAT